CATTTTACAGATTGTTTATGAGAAACCAAGGTTTAGGAGGTTAAGAAGCCTGACCAAGGTCACAACTACTGTGTCCTCAAGATTTGAGATTAGGATTTAAACTTCATAATTGGGGCCAAATGATGCTGGATTCAGAATCAACAGTTTGATTTCATGAGTTTAGAAGCTGAGAGTTCTTCCAGAATGTGGAAGGGTAGCAAACACATTTAGAGCAGTGGAATTTTGGAAAGGATGGTATTCACCAGGTTGAGAGATCTGAGTGTGACAGGAAGGGGAGAGAGATGACTCTTGTTCATTTCAGGATTATTTTGAAATGAGGGGATGCTGGTCCTTGGGAGGCTTTAGAGAGCTGTGAAGGAAGCAGATATGGAGAGGGAGAAGGGAGAGGAAGAAAGGGGGCGGTTGACAAGTACTTTAACAGCTGCTCCACATATCCACAAAATGACTCTGAGAAAAAATGGTTCTATTTATTTGCCTTTTCCTTCCATATATCTTGCCAGCAGCATTCATCAATATCTGTCATTTCCCAGGGGGCTTAGACATGTCTAGCAATTCATTCTACTGAATTATATTTCAATACACGAATGGAGGGAGGCCAGATTGCAGATGTTAACTCTGACCTCTGCCTGGCATCACTTAGACGCTGCCACCACCCCCCAGCTCCTCAGTGCCCTCGCTGCAGCAGACACTCATTCCAAGCAACACTGCTTGGTGTTGGATTCTTGTTTCCATGTTCTCATTAGAGTAGACTCTATTTATACTTCTTTAAAAATCAATTTTAAGTTGTCACATTTACCTTTGGTGTATGTAACTGGAGCTTAGGACCAAACCATTATTTATTTTTTAAATAAGAATTTTAAATCCAGACAAGTACTGCCCGAAAGGTACTGCCTGCCTTGGTGGTCTAGGTGCAATGGGGAGGTAGTGGCCAGGGCTGGGTCTCCTTGCAGAATGGGAGAATTTGCTGGGTGTTGATACATGAGAAGGCGTAATATCATCATAATAGAAACATTATAGCTGATTAAACTCTATCATATGCATTAACTAATTTGATCCTAATATCTGCCCTTATTATAACCTAACTGAGAGGTAATGTTGGTGGATGAGCAGAAATACTGCTTTAAAAACAGGTGGGAAAGCAAAAGAAAGAAAAGGGCAAATATATTTCTTTGTGTGACTTTGAATTGTTTCCTTTTAAAAGTACGATGCACGTTGTTATTTTTGCCCTTTCATCATAAAATGGCAAGAGTAACAGGGTGGCTGTTTAGGTTGAGGGTAAAGAAAAAAAAAACCTCTACAGTTTTGAATCGCCTTGCTACATCACTCACACCATAAGTTATTTTTTGATTTAAAACTGCAGTTATGAATGACAGCAGCAGTGGCAGCTTGAGATTCCTCATATTTTGTCCAAAGACTTTGATTTCTGTGTTGTAGACACGTGTTTTCTGTTATTTGTCAACAGTTCCTAGCTCTCTCATGGCATAGATTTGGGCTTTAGTGGCTTTTTAAAAAATTTGTCATGTACCCAATCTATCTGGGCTTGCTGAAAAGAAACTTAATTTCTGATGCCTGATCCACTTGCTAGAAGCTTCTCTCAAAACATTTCTCTAACTTTGTCACCAGGCTTTGTAGTTAGTAATGCCACCTTGCAATTCTGTGTTAAACATATAATGCTGGTGATAATATTCTAAAATGTGACACTGGACATCTCTGGTAGATTTGAGTCCTTAGCCAAACAGGTCATTAATTTGATGAAAGCCTTGAGGTCCCATGGGCATCACCATGCTCTGATATCAACCTCCCCCCATGTGAGTGCTTTCTTACTCAGCTTCCAGTTTCTTTGTCACTTGGAGATCACTGGCTAGTAGGCAGTGATGTTGGGACTCAGAGTCAAGGTTTGTTTTGTTAACACACTGCACTTTTTAAAAAGGCTGGAACAGTAGCTCAGTAGAGGAGCCAGTGAACGTCAGCACTGTGTGGTCACAGGTCTGCTGCTTTATCAGATCATATTTATTTATGCCATTAAGTAGAATGATTGAGCAGCATTGTTGATGTTGTGGAAGTACAGTCATTCTTCTGCATTGAGGACAAGAAATTGGAAGGCAGTCACCCATGTGAGTGGGAGTGAAAGGAACCATGTCCCTATGTTGGAGTAGCACAGCTGAAGATGAATAAAGGGAGGCTGTAATTGTCTGTGAGGACGAGAGTCATGACGATGAGGGAATAAATGTTTAGAAGTGGGCAATGGGGCATAGGAGAAGGATCTCTGGGTGATGATCTTTAGGGCAATGGCTGCCGAGTCATCGATTCTGCCCACGAAGTCTAGCCCGTGACTTATCATGATCTTCACCTTTTCATTTCTAGTTTGGAGGATTCTTTCAAAAATTCAATCTCTATGGAAGGGCTTATGTTATTAAGTGTAATTTACAATAGCAGGTGTTGATGCAGATTAAGGTGGATGCCTTTTGAACATAATAAAAATCCTCTTATTTTTGCTCCATGAAGTTCATGGTTTTGGCTAAGCAAGGGAGTTTTAAAAATACTGTATATTAAAGTATACATAAAAAATATACCACTCAACCATTTTTAAATACACAACTTAGTGACATTAAGTACATTTCACATCAGCCATCCCCAGTATCTATCTCCAGAACCATTTCACCATCCCACACTGAAACTCTGGATGCATTAAACAACGATTCCTCATTCATCTTCCCACCAGCCCTGGAAACCACTCTTAACATATTCTGTCTCAATACTGACTAGTCCGGGTGCCTCATAGAAATGGAATCATGCAACATTTGCCCTTTTGTGATCAGCTTATTTCATTGAGCATGGTATTTTGCGAGTTCATCCACATTGTAGCAAGTGGCACAACCCCCTCCCCCCAAACATTCCTTTGCACTGAGCTATGTCCTCAGCCTTTTTCTTTTTCTTTTGTTTTATTAATATTGAGACAGAGTCTCTCTAAATTGCTAAATTGCCCAGGCTAAGATTGAAATTTTCCTGCTTAGCCTTCCAGAGTGCTGGGATTATAGGCATGTACCACCATGCCCAGGTTAACATTAGAATTTCTTTCCATTTAAAGGCAGACTGATATTTCATTGTATGTATATACCACATTTGGTTTATCCATTCATCCATCAATGAACATTTGGACTGCTTCCACTTTTTGGCTATTCCTAATCTTGCTGCAAAGAACATGATAGACACATGAACTATTTGAGGTCTTGCTTTCACTTCCTTTGTGTGTTTAGACCCAGCAGTGAGATTAAGCAAAGGAGTATGTAAGGTGAAATGGTGATAATAGCCCCCTTCCAGTACAATGGTGGGTGTCACCTTTCTAGGAGCTGCTATGAGACTTTCAGTGGGTGCCAAGGTGAGTGGCAGGCTGATAGCCAAAACCTATAAATCTATATACCCATAAGGATATAGGCAGGAAAAATAAGGTCCCCAAACAGAGCATGTGGACCCATTTGGTCATTCATGGCACTAATAAAGTGCCAGCTCATCATTGGTTAGTTTTGTTCCTAGCTCCTTGGCCTCTGTCATGCTACATCTAGCCTCTCTAACCCTTGTATGGCTCTCCTAGCTCCCCCAAACCCTTGCGAGGTATGCAATGACAACCTTAGCTTCATTCTGTTCCTAGCTGGAACCTTAAAGGAGGGAACAAAGTTTTTCAGAATTCTTATAAGTAATTTATTTCAAGAAACCATATCAAAACAGTGTTTTCTAATGTAGTTATCTGATTTTATTTTTCTTTTGATGTCCTGCTTACAGTCCTAGAGAAATAACCCCAAATATAAGACTGTGGACTAATTACTAAATGTATGGTGCACTTCAGGTGACATGGAACTGTTTTTCAAGGCAATTTTAAAATCTAGTCAGGTACCATTATTCCCCAAAGATACAGTAGACCTCCAGTGACAATAATTCTTCATATGGCCACTCTGCTAAAGTTATTACTGACTTGGTATTTTCCTATTTCCAAGGGATAGTTCTAACCTTAGGGTTCTTTGAACACACATATCTCACAACTGAAAGCAAAGCATGTATTTATGAAGTTTATGCTCCTAGTTTCTTGGATTCATGATGGAAACAAAGGAAAACACATTCCAAGAGAGGTCCTATGGAGCATATATAGAGCCGATGCACAATTTGTGTCTGTGTCTAGACTCAGTAATCTCTTTGCTTTAATTTATAAGCGTACAAATCTGTAGGACTTCCCACTCTCATTCTGTAGAGTCCCGAGGCCAAAACAGTCACAATAACCAGGGTAAAAATCCCTAACATCCTATACATCTGTGGTTGGAACCTGAAAGTTTCTTGTGTCAATCCACCCTACTAATTCCAGCTTTAAAAACAAATCTCTGTTTATTGCCTCTAAATTTCTAGTTATGTCAATAGAAAATATTTAATAAATGTTAACAAGCGTTTTTGGGATTTTAGAAATATGTTTCCAAAGAGGACAATGCTGATTGAAGTTTCACTTGTAACAACAAGCTCAATTTGGTATTAAAATAGAGCAACCAGATTGCTAGGCAAGCTCACCTCTCATACAACAAATTGGAAATGGTATTATCCATTAATTTCCACCCTGTGCAGCTGAATAATGCCATTGACAGATGCTAATTTTCTTAAATTGTAGGCAGCAAATGATGCATGAATATAACAGCAACACACTTTTTAGAGGCTCTTGGTAGTCATCAGAAAGTGAATTTATATAAAGTTTGATGTAATCACTACCAACTAAGGCACTGTGTTACTGCCTTCTAATGACTGCCTTAAATCCATCTGTTGTCCTCTTTTCCCTGTTAACTCTAATGGGGGTCTAGGCAGGAATAAAATATCCCATGTGTTATGTTAATAGACCTTCCACTTTCATAAGATTCCTTGGGACTTGACCTATGCAAGAATTTAAAACCTAACCCATCATAGGATTACAATATTTCATTTTACATGTGTATAAATGCTCCCTAATTTATTTTTTTCCAGTGGATTTACAACATTTTATTTCTTACTCACTTTATAATCTGTGATGGGTAGCTCTTTGTGTTTCTTATCTTTTTAAAGGCTTATTTGATTGAGGGCTAATTCTGAAATATAGTATCTATTTTAGATTTTATAACAACCCCATTGGTTTGCCCCAGTTTTACAGCTAAGGAAGCTGAGGCTTGGAGAAGTTTATGACAAAAGTGATTGATTCAGAATTGGAGCACAGAAGTCTGACTCTAAAGTCACCCACAACTGGAGCAATTAGTTTTCACAGTTACTGGCAAGGGCCTTTATGTTTTCTTGGATTTGAAGAAGGTATAAGCTCAATATATAGGCTGAGGCAAGATGAGTAATTGAATGTGTAAGTGTCCTCTTTTGGGCTAGGATCTGGTAAGGTAACAAAGAAACTGAAGATATAAGACCTTTGGTTTTGTTACCAAGATTAACTTACGCATGAGATAGCAAAAAATAGTAGTTGCACATGATAGTGTTAAGAGTGATTTCAGACAGGATAAGAAGGCATGCAAGTCTTGTTAGCAGTGGTTCTGCTTATTGTAGTGTCCTGTGGGATTTAACAAGGTGGAGTGTTCAAAGTGTGGCATAGAGTGAATGAGGGGAAGGGGCCTCGCTCTGGTTCCCTGCTTTGTGCTCCCTGTGCTGGTTCTGGATTCTGTCCAGAGTCCAGCTGGGCTGACCCAAGCCTGGTCTCAGTAGTTCAGGACCCCAGCAGATCAATGCCCCGTGCTGACAATTATTCTAGAGCTCTTGCTACACTTGATCTTACCCAAAAGGCCGAGAAGTGATCTAGAGCTCTTGCTGATGAAGAGGAGGACCTTCATGGTTCTTCTGTGCTGCAGTCCTCCACTGGACATCTTCCCTGGTTCCTTGCTTTTCCACCTAGGACCCTTGGAGTGTCCGCACTACCAGTGGGGAAGGAATGTGCACCTGGCCAGTTTGTCATGTTAAAATATGGAACATATTTTTATTAGAATCATTAAAAGCAATATAGAAAATATCATATGTAGAAATTAGTAGAAAATAATTGAATACAAAGTCATATACCTACCAGCCAGTTTTATCAAATCTTAATATATGTATTTTCAGGTACATTTTAAAATGTAATAGGTCATTTAAAGCCACAAATCAAAAACTGAACTCTTCAAATAAACTTTTAAGTTGAATTAGCAGACCTTATTATTCCTTATAGATAACTTTTACAATAACAAATAATACTACAGGGACTGGAGATCTATCTGAGTGGTATAGTGCTTACCTAGCAGGTGTGAGGCCCTGGGTTCAATCTCTAGCACTGCAAAAGTAAAAGATTAATTAATTGATTGAGCAATTAATTAAAAATTTCAGAGTCATCATATTTCTCTTTGCTCCCATTCCCATTGTTCTCTGTCAGAGAGAACCCATAATTCTGATGTTGTTATTTACTACTTCCACGAAATATTATTTATTTTAACATTATTCAGTGTTACTCCTTATTTATTATGTGGTCCTGTCTAGGATTCTGACTACCGTATTTTGTTTTGTTGCTAAAGGTAGTGGTGAAGGATGCAGGTCTTATAATATGGATGGTGATCGTATGTTGACTGATTTCCATGTGCTAGGTTGAGCAATTCAAGTACATTATCTCCTTTAATCTTATCTGCCACCTTGAACTGTTATTCCTGTTTTAGGGCTGGGAAGATTGAGGTTTAGAAATTAAAGGTCCCAACAACTTGACTGTTACACGTGACTCGTAAGAACTGGGGTTCAGACCTATGTTTGTCTGATTTCCACACTATGGTTTGAATCATTCTATTTCCATCTTTTTAGATGCTTTTGTCTCTATGAAAAATATATATTTATTTATAAATACATAAGCATCCTATCATAGTATATAATTTTCATGTAAGCATATGTGGTGGATATTTTCCTGCAGTAGAATTTGGGCTTGGAATCAGAATCTTAGCTTTACCTTCTCACTCAGCTATGAGCCCTTGCCAAGTTATGGAACCTCTCTGTGCTATAAAGTAGAGTTGATAATACCTACCCCATGGAGTTGTGAGGGTGTTGTACTGGCTGCCATATACAAAGACCTCAATGAATTTTAGCTGTTATACTATACTTGCAAATAAAATTTGTGAAAATCATCTGTTCACTGGTATTCTTCCTGTGTAGAACTGATCTAGTATAGTTTAGCTGCACTTTAGTCAACAAACATTTGTCAAATATTTACTAAGTGTCAGGCCCTATGCCAGAAACTTGGGATACAGAAATAAATAAATCTGTTTCTTCACATGAGAAGGATTATGGAAACGAAGGCTAATCATTCTTTCCCTTTAAAGGAAAAGCAGACTGACTTGTAGAATTTTTCATTGAACTAAAATGGTTGCCTTTAAATTTTATCATGATTACATTAGATACTCATTTTTTTTTAATATACCCCTAGTTTTCTTTGAAATGGGGCCTCCAGGGCAGAATGGAGGTGAAATCAGAGAGGACTTTCTTCATCATAAATCCTGACATCTCACAGCTTCTGCACCTGTCATGTTTCTCTCCCAAAGGAATATATGACATAGGAAAAGACCCAGGAGGGACCCCCCAAAAATCCTGTCTATTCAGATTACTGATGAGATCATTATACTTTTAATAAGTAATGTCCTACAGATAGTGAGTTATTTCTTCATTACAAAGCCATTTATTCACATCATACTAATGCTGCTTTCCTAAATGCAATCTGTAGTTTTATTGCCCTTCCTCATTGATGGCCTACCTTTGGACCTAAAATGGGTAGATTTCTGAGAGACCCTCTCAATCCAGCTTTTAGTTCACATTTCAAAACAAGGCAAAGAAAAAAAATTAAAATTCTACCCTTTAAATATAACATCCCCTCCATAAAAGTATGCCTGAATGTTTCTGAGGCAACGATCAACACCACAGAGGGTAATTCATTATATTTAAGATTTCAGTGACAGTGTTCAAGTTCCAGTTAATTGACAGTTGCTGTGTTTATCTGCTTGGAAAAGGTCATAATCTGTTATGTGGGGTTGGTGGGGAGCAGGTGACAAAAATCAATGCGATTGCATTTTTTCAAGAAATTATAAATTGTACAAAGAAAACCTGAAAGAAGATTATAAAAATGTTCCGAACGATTTTCTCTAGTGTGATCATAGGTGATTTTTTTCTTTGTATATACGTATATTTTCAACTTTTGAATGAAAAACCAAACTCACCCCCCTCAAACAATGCCTTTCATTTTCACTTTTGTTATGGCTAAATAGCTAACTTTTATTGATGATTTACTCATAAACTCCTCTTGACAGCTCTACATAGAAGACTCTCATATCCATTTTAGAGATGGAAAAAATCAAGACCAAGAGAGGTCCCTCAAAGTCCTTCAGCCACTGGACAAGATATCAAAAGCAAGTCTAGTTTTTCTCCAGAGTTTGTACTTTTACTGTATAACAAGAGAGTGAAAGGTCAGTTTTTACAAAATAAGAAGCCATTTTTCTCTGTAATTAAAATAGAGAAATTTCTGAAAAGCACTTGGATTAAATAAAGCATTAGATTCTTACCTAGACTGTGGATAGGACATGCCTCTCACTCCGATGTTTTGGTAGTGCTGGTGGTTAGCATGTTCAGTGATGGTAAACTCCTCTAGTGGTAGAAGTGATTACTAACCAGTAGGTTGTGCTTATGTAAGGCATGCTCGAGGGAAGGACAAGGAATAGCTAATACTTATGCAGCAGGGCCACTGGCCATATGTGCTGCAGTCCCTTATGATTCTAGTGAGGAGTAAAGTCAGACTCCCTATACACATGGCCCTCAAATGAGATTTTATTTTCTTATTTTCTCTGTGTTTTCTGGGAGGGAAATGCCTACTCATCTCATTAAATGTGCTAGTGGTATTGGAGCAAAGCAGATCAAAAACAGTCACAGTCTTTTTTACTGAGCTTCATTACTATGTGAATATTCATGGCCCTCCTAACTTTCCTGGTGTCAGAAAACCTCATTTTTTTGTATGTTGATACTAGCACAGTCCCTGTACCAAGGAAGTAATGGTATGAATTGATTCAGCTATTTGACTTTTAAGAGCATACGCATATATATTAGAGTTCAAGGTTGATGGAAATTGCGTAGTGCACCTAGACTGACGTTGATGTCCTGATTTATGCAAATGGGTGCCATTATGTATGCCTTGGACACGGTTGGCCACCACCTGTGATTCAGGGAGAGCCTAAGAAAAGGGGCTCCAGTCCTATTTCACCTTGAAAGAATTTACCCATTTCCTTTAGTTGGTCACAATTTTCACTTTGTAGACTTTTTTTCTGGTTGATTACTAGTTTACTTTCCATATTAGAGGGTTCTTTTAATTGGTTATGTTTTAAAATTTTTATTTTTACTTGTTACAACCATATCACTCCCCCAGTACAGTTATAAATGCCCACCTTTATTTCTATAATGCTGAGCATGCTTTGTGTGTTTACATATATCCTCAACACATTCCAGTGAAACAAGCAGATGGGAAAACCCACTTCATCTTCCCCTGATGAAGAAAGCTATGGTGTGCAGGAGATGAAGGGAGTTTCCATGGAATGTTAAGGTCAGAACCCAGTTGTGGATCTCCTGACTTATTTCAAACAAATCTTCTGTGGTTGCTATTAATCAGTCTAATTACCGAGTATGGCAAAATAGATACAGAAGAATGACTGGGAAGAGACCCACCATTGTTGCAGAACTACTGCTGTCTAACTGCCACTTGCATTGTCTTCTCTTCTACCCCAACAGGGAGATACCTCCTTCCAAACCCAGTGGCGGGGCAGGTGTGGCCAGCCTCAGCTGAGACGTCCAACCTCGTGCGCATGCGCAGCCAGGCCCTGGGCCAGTCAGCACCCTCGCTTACTGCCAGCCTGGTGAGTGACTTCGTGCTTGGGTTAGAGTAGAGTAGAGTCAGGATTGTTGTCAGAGTTGCCTTAACTTGCCACCTCCATAGGGACTATTTAGTATATTGTGTTTAAGTAAGTTTAAACTAATCTACATGTGGCATTGAGCACAGACTGGGCAATCTGAAATCCTTTGCTTTCAGTGTGTTAATTTCTACTCCTAGCCCCCAAACTTGGAATATTTCAGTGTTGGCTCTGTGTCCACCCTTTCCTTTGAAGAAATGAAAATATTTCTAGGCTTTTTTGTTTCTTAAACTTTTTATTTAATTTCAGACTTACAGAAAAATTACCAGTTTATTCTGTGTTCTTGATTCAGTTAAATAACATCTTGGCCAATTTGCCTCATAATTTGTATTCTGTGTGTGTATGGACGCATGGATTTACATTCACACATACATGCACATAACTTTTTGATTTATCTGAGAGTAAGTTGTGTATACTGCATAGCCCTTTGTTACCATGCTTAACCTGAGTGATTTTGTGGCTGATATAATCCTATTACCTATTTTGATCTGTGTTTCATTATTGTCATTGACTTAGTCATATCTTTTATAGCATTTTCTTTCTCCAGTATAAGATCCAACTTATGGTCATGTATTTTCTTTAATTGCTCAATTCTTTGGCCTCTTTAATGTGAAATGTTTCTTTGTCTTTTCTGAGGTGAACATTTTTGAAGAAGTAATTTTAATGGAATATTTCTCATATTATGTTTGTCTGTATGATGAGATTCAGGGTTTTGCATTCCGGACCAGAATCAGGCATTGAGGATATATCCTCAAGGTGTGATGTTTTCAGGCTCCTGATGTCCACCTGCCCCTCACTATGATGTTAGTTTTGATTGTCCACTCAAGCTGTTGCACAATTTTTCCACCATAGTTATGACTTTTTCTCTTGTAATCAATAAACAGTCTTTTAGGGGGAGATACTTTCAGGCCTTGCAAACATGCTTCCCATGAAAAATTTTGTCTGCATTTAGGATCTGTTGGTGGGTCTTGCTAGGGCCATTTTTTTTCTATGATGATTAAAAATGACAGGGACTGGCATTATAGATCAGTGATAGAGTGCTTGTCTAACATGCTGGAGGCCGTGGGTTTCATTCTGAGCACTGAAAAGAAAGAAGGTGGCTTTTCCAACACAAGCACTCTCCATATTCAACAGCTGGTACACCACATAAATATTTGTGTATTTGTTAGCAGCAGAAACTTGCACATCATTGTCCCCTACTGTGAAGAGCTTTATTTTTTTTTGAGTGGTGTATAAGCTATTTATTATTTTTTTCCATTAAGTTTATTGGTACATTTTAGATATACAGTACAGTTACATTCATCATTGGGATCTTGTACCTTTACATGAGTATCTAAGTTCTTATTTTTTCCCCATTCCCCTGCCCTCCCTTCACCCCCTCTACCCTTTCCTATTTACAAAGACTTTGTTTCCATTTTTTACTTTTCTCATATTTTTTATTTTCCCATCTTTCCTTTCCCCTACCCCTCCTACTTCCTCTACTCCTTTAGACCTTTTGTGAAGAACTTTATTTTTAACCATGATGCTTACTAGAATTTTTTTTAATCAGCTAACCTTACTTCTCTATCTATCCCTTGACTTGGCTTAGGAGTCTATACTTTACTTTTGCATTAGTGATAGGGTTGTATGGTATGGAAATAGATTTTAAAATATCTTTTATAGGTGAAGATATAAGTAATATATAAATCAGTGTATTATATCTCATAATTTTATCCATTGGTAATATATTGTGTTAGCTATTTGGGAATCATACAATAATGCTGAGATTTGATATAGGTCCGGACGGTAGTCCTGCTTTTACCATTAAGTAGCTGTATATATTTAGACAAGCCACCTACTTTCTCAACTCTATCATGTCATCTGCAACTATAAGATGAAAAGACATGTTAAATAGTCCATCAAGTTGCTTTTAACTCTGGAATTCCCTGATTCTACTTTCAGAATAATGGAGGTTTTGAATGTATGGAAGAGTTATCTCTCGAGAAGTTTCCTTTAGGATATTTTGTGACTTTAAAATTGACTATTATTCTTTAACTAGAATTCATTGTTTTCCTCATGAAAATAGAGTTAAAATGATAATAGATAACATTTTCTTCTACCTCACATCCCCGGTCCTAAGTGATTTTTACTCTTTGAGGAATTTTTTTAAAAGCTTCTTTTGCTGTAAGCATGTACTTTTTAAAAGGAAAGTACCACAAATCATGATTTTTTTGACAGAAGTGCTTTTCAGCCACTGCTGAATACTATTCGTAACATTTAACTTATAATTTTGTATATTTATTGCTGAGTAAATAATTTTGATTAAAACAATACTGTCACAAAGTACTGTGTCCTAATCACGTTCCTGTTGCTGGAACAAAATAGCTGACACCCATAACTTAAAAGGAGGAGAAGTTTATTTGGTTTCAGTCAGTGGTCAGCTGGCTCCAAGGCAGAAACAACATGGTGGAAAGGCAAAGCAGGATATGCTGTTCAACCCACAGAATCCAGGAAGCAGAAAGAGAAGGGAGAAGCTGGGGATGAGAATACACCCACCTCCAAGCAGGCCCCTGTACCTTTACTACTCAACTCACTGATAGATGAATCTACTGATGAGCTTAACGCCCTTAGATCCAATCACCTTCCAAGTACATGAGGGGGCAATTTGTATCTAAATCATAACATACTGTATCTTATTGCCTAATAATGCACATTATTAGTCACATATCCAGATAAGGAAATTCACCCAAGATACTGGGAAAGCACACCATAATGAGAACTACTAATAGAAAGCATGGAAGAGCACCTCTTAATATCTGCCAGATGACATTCTTATCAAAGAATCTCTTAAATCATTAGCTGATCTATCTGCAAGTTTTATGCTTACAGTGTTTGCTTAAGATCAACTGGAGAATATGGTGAAATTCCTTGTGAAGTAAACTTGAAATAGTTGTTTAGCATTTTAATGTCTCAAATACTAGTGATATTATAGTCTGTTATTATTATATTGTGGGTAAATTTGGGCACAGAAGCCAGAATGTGATCAGCCATTTATTGCTAGGTTGTGAAAGTTTAACATTTAACCCTTATGTTAGCTTTCCCTTCAGAGGATTAGTTCTCAAATGTAGTCTGTGGAAAATGTTTTGTTCCAAGTCTCTGTTGTATTCAGGGCAGCAGCAGCCACACAGGAGCTTCCAGGAAGCCTGCCCTCTTGATTTCTTCTGCAGTGATGTGTCCAGACTGCTCTGCCATTGTTTCAGTGTGTCACTCAGATAGATGTTAATGCCTCCCCTTGCTATTAGTACCTTTTGTAGGACTGCACAGCTAAAGGGACATTAAAGTTTAATATTTGGCATTTCTACCATGTTTGGATTGGATTACATCTAAATTATTTCTGCCAGTTGCAATTGACATTTGATAGAGAATGACACCAAAGTTGTAGAAATTGATACCTTTGAGAAGAACTTCATTTTTTCTTCCTTGTTTTCCTTGCCTTCCAAGCAAGCTGCTGTCTGTGGAGGTTCATTGTATAGTAGATAATCCCTCACTGATTGAGCTCTCCTCTTGGCCACTGTTCCAACCTGGTGACCTCCCTTAGAGCATAAGTCATCCTTCGCTGTCTCTCTTAGCATTTATCATGTTGTACCTTTGTTTTTGCTCTTTGTGTTTATGCCTCGTTATTCCCCACTAGACTACAAGCACCTTGAGGGCAGAATTCTTACCTGATTTGATTTCCTACTACCCACTGCTTTTAGCACAATGCCTTGCAAGGTGGAGGAATTTGATAAATAATGTTGTAGGAACAAATAATTATTCATGGAAAATG